CTTCATACAGGGGGTGAGATAAAGCCCGATTGAAGTGAAGAATATAATGTTCAAAATGAAGATAAAAAAATATTTGGACACTTTGTAGTTACTAGAAATCTGGACCCTTTCACTTTCTAGAAATTGTAAACATGACTCAAGAAAGTGAAGTTACTTCTGAGAAAATGTTTAGAATAATTTGTTCGCTGATGCATCATGGTTTGAAATGTAATTATGCAATGACATACATTTTAAGTGTCCAAATACTTTTGGGGTTTCCGTAAATTATTCCATCAAATTATTGTGAAATTTATACTGTGTTCCTCTGCAGGGTAGTTTACTGATATAAATGGTTAACTCACTTGAAATAAAAAATTCAATATAAATGCATAAATAGCTAATAAATAGTCTATATACCATTAAATGTAGTACTGTACACTCACAGAAAAAAAGTACAAAACTGTCACTGGGGACCTTTCAAACGTTACAAATATGTTCACTTTGGGTACTAATATGTACTATTTAGGGGTAAGTAAGGTACAAAGATGTACTGTCACTGTGACATCTTTGTACCTTTTTCTGAGAGTGTAAAAGTACATTTTAGCATTTGCTCAGATTTCAATAGATCAAAGATGCAATTTTAGCAACTGCTGAGATTTTCTCCTCTGTTCTTCCAGATGGGACCTGGAGACGCAATAACAGGCATGAAGTTTAACCAATTCAATACCAATCAGCTGTTCATCTCATCTATTTGGGGTGCTACCACCCTTCGGGATTTCAGTGGATCGGTTGTACAAGTCTTTGCCAAAACAGATTCATGGGAGTAAGCGAGTTCCTTTATTAGCAGTTATGATAGTTCTCCCATTTGCTCTCAAAGAAACATAGACCACACCGAGATTTAAAATACTTTTAAATAGAACTTGAAGTTGACCTGATACTTCTGTCCTGTTGTTGGGCACTTCTGTTCATTCAGCTGAATTACAGTATAATAAATGTGCGAGTTCAACATGAGTTATCAGTGTTTGATTCCGTTGGCTCTTAAATATGGAAGAACTTGCCTGTGTTTGAAGTTTAACAGTTTCAGTGTTAACAAAGTTATAAAATTCAGTTCCATGTCATAGATAAAGTGGGCATTGAATGTATTTGCATATATTTTGATTGGTATGAAGTTGGATAAACCCTGTGAAAGATCAGAGGATGAAATCATTTGATTGTTTTTTGCAGTTAGTTATGCTATGTGTGACAGTATGCTCATGTCATTGATTATGTTGCTTTTAATGAAACTTAATGTTCTGTTGCTAAGCTATTAGATTTTAGGTTATCTGAGATAAATCCATTTTGTCAGTAATGTTGTCCTTCACTATTTGTGGTATGTAATTGTGAATGCTGGTGTTTATGACTGTGTTGAAGAACATTGTTTGTCTTCATCTCCTTCATGTTGTTGGGTCGGTTTAGTTGCTGTATTAATTTGTAATCATGTTGAACCCACAGTCCTCCCTGACCATTGAGTCCTCCCTTCTCATGACAGTACTTGGTTTGACAGCTATGTGTAGATCTAACAAGCTTGTGTTTGTCTGTTGTGCCAAGGGAGCTTTAGTCCTGGAGCTGGTGATTTTATAGGGGGGATGAAGTTCTGCCCCACAGATGTGTCCGAAATCTTTGTTGCTTCTGGTGATGGCACAGTCAGCGTGCAGAGTTTTGAGGGCCTCCAAAGTCAGATATTGTCTCGAACCCCAGATTGTGGCCATGACCACCATGATCTTTGGTTGAGGACAGTGCTTGTTTGAACTCTTTTGTGAATTGCTCTCCAGTGTCGGGAAATCGGAGATACTTTTTTGGTGGTTATATATTTCATGTTTATGTTCAGTATTCCGTATTGCTGTTCCTTTAAGAACAATTGCCTTTCAGCATGTAGTATAGATTGATTGTTGATTTGTCTGAGATTGTTTGCCACATTTGTCTTTCAGTAAGTTTCTGCTTCTTTGAAAATATGTGATCACGGTCTTTCACTTTTTAAAGCCCTTTCACTACCATTATTAGGTATAAATTGGATGTTATGTTAAGATATGTTTGTATATATAGTTTTAATGCCACAAATGTCATTCTCCCAGTTACTGGTACTGCTGTGTGGACGTGTCTGTTAGTCGTCAGATGCTTGTGACTGGAGACAATACTGGACGACTACTTCTGTTTGGCCTTGATGGACATGAGGTATGTGAGGGAATATCTAAATCAATTCTCATTGCCAAAATCAAGAATAAAGCTGTCTGATATTCGTATTTTCAAAAACATTTAGATTTTCAAAGAGAAGCTGCACAAAGCCAAAGTGACCCATGCAGAATTCAACCCTCGTTGTGATTGGCTGATGGCTACATCCTCTGTTGATGCTACAGTCAAGCTGTGGGACCTCAGAAATATTAAAGACAAAAGCAGTTATATCACTGAATTGCCTCATGAAAAACCAGTCAATTCTGGTAAGAGACTATATATTTGATTATTAAATTGAGGAGGGGAAGAAGTAATAAATGTCTCTCAACTGTACAGTGCAAATTAATTGAAATTAATGTTCTTTTTCTTTCAGCGTACTTTAATCCAACAGACAGCACCAAGCTCCTGACTACAGACCAGAGGAACCAGATCAGGGTATATTGTTCATATGACTGGTCTAAACCTCATCAAATAATTGTTCATCCTCATCGACAGTTCCAGCACTTAACACCCATCAAGGTAAGAGTTCCTTTAGCCTAAACTGCAAGTTTCACTTGCTTGGCTTTTTTCCCCATGTTGTTTTTGTTGATGTAATCAAGTTTACAGGCATCTCAGAGATGCAGGACTATTGATGTCCTAGAGTTTAGTTTTGCAAAATTTCTTCCATCAGGCAACCTGGCATCCCATGTATGACCTCATCGTGGCTGGCCGTTACCCAGATGATCAAGTATTAATCAATGACAAGAGAACTATTGACATTTATGATGCCAACAGTGGTGGGCTTGTGCATCAGCTGAGAGACCCCAATGCTGCTGGTATCATATCTGTAAGAATGTTTTTTTTCTTTTAAATATTAAAAAAAATTCAAATGTAATTTAGAATTCCTAAAAATGTATACACTACCAGTCAAAAGTTTGGAGTTAGTAAGATTTTCTTTAAATAAATTAATATTTTGATTCAGTGAGGCTGCAGTAAATTGATCAAAAATGAGAGGGAAGACATTTAGGGTGCGTTCACACTTGGTTTGCTTGCCTGGTCTGAACCAGAGTTCGATTGCTTCCCCCTCCCCTCTGCCCCCACTGGACTGTTCAGATTATTTTATTTGGTCCGAACCGGGGTTCGCGTCATCAAGCCAGCAGCTGTTTACCCCATTGCTTAGTAACGACAGCGCAGGAGAAGGCAGCAAAATGCATAGTTGCTCTCTTCATTTTTATATATTTATGTTTTTGAACAATTGGTTTTGTTTCCAAAGCTTCAGTACATAACGGCACTTACGTCTGTCTTACGAATGTACTGCAAATGCTCTAAAGAACTCTGAAGGCGAACAGAAATAAGATATACAGCTCTCTGCAAGAGCGAGTCAGTCATGCTCGTCAGGAAAGTGAGTGAAACACAAACACACATTTGTTATCAAATAATACGTCATTAATAGCTGTTCACTTCCGTGATTTGGTACGATTGCGTTCACATCAGCAGCGAACCGTACCGGAGTTTAAATGAACCGTACCCCAGACCACCCCTTTTAAGCGGACTCAGGTACGGTTTGTGGGTGCGCACCAAAAGTGCTAGTGTGAAAGCACCCTTAGAATATTAGAAAAGATTTCTATGTAAAATAAATGCTGTTCTTTTGAATTTTCTGTTTATCAAATAATAAAGAAAAATGATCATGATTTCCACAAAAATATTAAGGCACAGCTTTAAGTATTGATAAAATGTTTCTTGAGCTCCAAATCAGCTTATGTTTTCAGAAGGATCATGTGACACTTGACATTTTAAAATATATTAAAAAGTTAGTCAAATTGTAAAAATATTTCACAATATTACTGTTTTTTTAAATGTATTTTTAATCAAATTATTAAAGATTTGGCGACCATAAGAGACTTCTTTTAAAAATGTTTTGAACGGTAGTCTATATATAATTGTAGATGGACTTGATATCGGATTGCAGGCACCACTATAATATTACATGTTTATTTTATTTCAGCTCAACAAGTTTAGTCCAGCTGGAGATGTGCTGGCTTCTGGAATGGGTAAAATATAATTCACTGTTTATAATCATAGTAGTCATGAGCGATAGTAGGTATAATTAATTAGAAAACGTGTACACTTTAATTACAGGCTATAACATTTTGATCTGGAACCGAGAGGACACACTGAACAGTGTTAATGGGAAGCAAACAATGGAGACAGTGGAGGACAGTGGAGGCAGACCTGGAACCTCCAGATCCCAGCGTAGCACTCAGCAGCGCACAAATAGAGACAGAAGAGCGGCTGCTGATGATGCCAAGCTCAAGAAAAAGCTGTCATCATCAACAGAGACCAAGTCCAAAACCAAGAGCAAGACAGAATGCAAGACATCAAAAGCAAAGAAAAAGTGAGAGAGAATACACTGAACTTTAAAACTAGATACTCAGGCTCAGGCTCATGTCAATATATAAATCCTGGAACAACAAAAATTAAAATACAGACTTGTTTTGTTACCTTTTATAGGGCCTAAAATATGTATATTCTGTTCAAAATAAACTTTTGTACTTTTTTACATTAAAAACTTCATGTCATGTGTCTTTATTAGTGTAATAAGAGGTTCATATTCTTTGAGTCATATAAACCAGGTACAAATAATCAGGATGTTACTTTAAATGATGTTTATTTAACAAAGTTTGGGAGGAACACGTTCAGATATACACAGCCGACTCACCACTGTCCCTCAACAGTTTCCAGCATCCCTTCACCACCCCAACTCCTCACTCGACTTTTCCTATCCCAGTCTAGGATATGGGTGAGCCCTCCCCTTGGACAGCACGCCAAATATGCACACTCTTTATCTGATTTTCTGTACGTGTGAACTTGTGAAGCACTGGTATGTTTATTGTTAGTTAAGACTTGCGTAGCTGAACGAAAGTAACATTTGCAAAACGACCAAGAATATCAATCCAGGCCTGCTGCTCCGACTCTAGCCTCTGGTTTTGTGCCTGGTAGGCTGAATAGATAGTCCCAAGGAGGAGGGTCTCAAAACGGGTCTGAGTGAAAGAGTTGTCTTGCTCTTCCAGCATAGCCAGTAACTTCTCCATTGCAGAGACAGTCTTTGGGATACTGTCATTTATAAGAGATAAGAAAGCTCGCCCTTGTCGCATCGATGCAATTTCTTGATCCCGCATGACAACATTATTGTCGGCATCAATCTCCAGTCCTCTCCATAAGAACTAGGATTTAAAAAAAAAATGTGTGAGCTGATCTGTAAGGTATGGAGCCCATTAGGTGATGTGGTGACGGGGTAAAAATTAGCTTATGTTTGCTTGCAAAAATATTGTGTTTAAATGTGCCTTATAGCACTGAAATGTAAACATTTCTTGAGTTTCTTGGAAAACAACATTCTTGTGAGCAAATGCAAAGTTTCTTGGGGAACAAACGTTTTGCTTGCAAATTCAGAAAATATAATTACATGATTATTATTAAAAATACATTCCTTCTATCTCATGTTTTCCATCACTATGTGCCCTTTGGGACTCGCAGTTGTCTATATTTGTAGTTTAGTTAGATCATAAGATTATAATTATAGTATTTATTTAGCATTTTGCTTAAACAGTCCAGGAGTGTGAGAACCGATTAAATATTCCATGTAGTTTCTCAATACATAGTTATAAAAACTGCATGCATAATACTTATGGAGCAATTAGAAATGTTTAAAATATTTTAAATGAAATGTAGAATGAATTTCTGCTTAACATTTTATGTACATTAAAGGCTATTAAGCTTTATGTTAAAAATGGTCATAAAAAAGCACCTCAAAGTGTATTTAAGAGAAACTGTATCATTCCAGTGACACACTGCTATAGTATTAACTATAGTTTTTAACTGATCTTTGAAATAAATGAATGTGTTCACTACAATAATGAATTTAATTACTGTGCATCAATATATGTGACCCTGGACCACACAACCAGTCATAAGTAGCATGGTATATTTGTAGCAATAGCCAAAAATACATTGTATGGGTCAAAATTATTTATTATTTTTCTTTTATGCCAAAAATCATTAGAATATTAAGTAAAGATCATGTTCCATGAAGATATTTTGTAAATTTCCTAATGTAAATATATCAAAACTAAATTTTTTATTAGTAATATGCATTGCTAAGAACTTTATCTGGACAACTTTAAAGGAGATTTTCTCAATATTTAGATTTTTTTTTTTTTCACCCTCACATTCCAGATTTTCAAATAGTTGTATCCCGGCCAAATATGGTCCTATCCTAACAAACGCTTATTTATTCAGCTTTCAGATGATGTATAAATCTCAATAAATATATATATATATATTTTTTAACTGGTTTTGTGGTCCAGGCTCACATATGGTAAAATGAAGTGTGGCTTTTATTTCTTTGTGGAATGTGTTACAGCTCTACCTTCTTACCTCAAACATCAGGTTAGCATCATTTACAGATCTGATAAAGCCTTGATGTGCGAGTCCTCCGTGCAGAACCGCTGTAACATCTGCATGATAGCACAGACTCATGAGTTACATGAAAAGCATTAAACTTGAACTGTAAGACAAACAAGTCTGAGCTATTCAGAGCTATGTGAGCAATACCATGATACACTGAGTATGAGTAAAACAAAATCAAAGCTTTAAGCATCAAATAGTGCTTGCAGAAAATAAAGGGGGAAAATATGCGACTCTGACGTCACGGTTGGCAGAAATCATGTCCAACATGCCACAGAGGTGCCAGTGCCACAGTCCAACAGCACTGGAATAGCTAAGAAAATCCAGTACTACTATTATGATCACACAAGGAAAACAAGCCTGCACATATGATTAATCTACATAAAGGTGTATAACAACAAAGATTTAAGTATTTAAACTTAATACTGCACATGTCGTCTCTTTAAGTTGAAAAGTCTTTACCTGAGGTATTCCAGGGCTCCCTGAAGCCAATGAGGCACAGGACAACACATACCACTTTGATCTGAGTCAACAACATTGCAACAAAAATAAAACTGCACTTGATTCACGCAGCTTTCAGTCGTCATCCGTTTTAGCCCCACAAAAATGGGATTCCCGAGTTAGACAGTCTTTAGTGCGGAAAAACACAGTTTGAGCCAAACTGGGAGAGAAAAAATGCGACTACTAGAGATGGTGACATATCTATTTTTTTTTTTTTGTAAATAATTGTAAGATGATATTGTGTAATAGAGATGAATGAAAAGCTAAGTTACTTGAAAATACGTTTAAAAATGTATATTTTTTTTCGATATGCAATGCAATGCAATGACAGGCCTCCAACACACGGGCGCAGCAGAGAGTCGCGTAAACACGCGGTGACGTCAATTCGAAGAATGTGCTGTTTACTTCCTGAAGCTCACAAGCAGTCTTCTGGTATGGCAAAGATTTAACACATGCTAACATTTATAAACGATAACGCGCGTGTGCTGTCTACAGTTTTACATCTGGCACACTGTTTTCTCGATTGTGGACGCATTAGGATGGTGAAACTGAAGTAGACCTTAATCTAAATGGCTTAAGTTAGCATTAGCTACATAGCTGGCCAGTTTACCATAGATGGCCATAATTTGCCTGAGCGAACTGCGCTGATTCGAATACCAAGTCGATCAGTTCTGATGGAACCGTATAAATGCAAAACCATCTATAAACATCTTATTAAACTATTTGGAATACTTTTTGTGTAGATAGCAAGCAGCAGTTTTGTTATTCATAAAGAATTCTACATATGGCTTTAAATCAATCTGAAAGCAATTTTAGAGCCTACTGAGTGTTATATTCTAAGGCAAATCCCAGCCTCCCGGTCAATAATTAAAACTACATGAATGAATTCATCTGAGGGACAGCTGATCCAGTAAGTCATTCATCTAGTATTCAGGTGAAGCTGCTTTAGATTTTATAGGCGCCATGGAGTCCAGTGAAGACGGGGGTTACGGTGTTGGAGGTCCATCAGGGGATGAAAACTACTTCCAGGGCTACACCTTCACAGATCGCTCCCATTCCAGCCGTGTTGTGAAGAGCATCATGGACTTGTGTCTGGAGGATGGTTTGTTTGCAGATGTCACCATCACCGTGGACAGCAAAGAGTTCCAGCTTCACCGCCTGGTGCTTTCTGCACAAAGCTGCTTCTTCAGGTCCATGTTCACCTCTAACCTTAGAGAAACTTATGATCGTAATATTGAGCTGAAGGATGTCAGTGCACCAGTCTTCCAGTCGCTGGTGGACTACATCTACCATGGGACGATCAAACTAAGGGTTGAAGACCTGCAGGACACTTATGAGATGGCTGATATGTATCAGCTCACTGCCCTGTTTGAGGAGTGCTCTCGCTTCCTGTCACGAACTGTGGACGTCAAGAACTGCCTCCAGGTGAAACCTTTGGTTTTAACTACTTTTTGTAATATACACACAAAAAAAGTATTGATAAATGTCAGCTGAATCGGTAGAAAACTGTTGTTCATTTTTGATTTCAGGTGATGTGGTTGGCAGATAGACACAGTGACCAGGAGTTGTATACGGCTGCCAAGCACTGTGCGAAGATTCACCTGGTTCAGCTGCACCAGACAGAGGAGTTCCTGAACTTGCCATTGTGCCTTCTCATAGATATCATTAAAGGTGAATAAATGGCATTAACAGCAAATTGGTTTCACTTCAGATGAGAGATTTTAATCAGAAAGAGTCAGAGATCGTGTTAACTTATGTTTGTAATTTGCTTTTTCAGATGGTGTGCCAAGATCACAAAATCCAACTGCAGCTATTAAATCTTGGATAAATCACAACAAAGTCGAACGAGAGGAGTATTCTGATATGCTTCTAGATAGCCTAAAGGTTAGTGATGGATTAAATGGATATTAAACAGTATTTTAAGCAATAATTTACATTTAATGCTGCATTGATATTCTGTATTCTTTAAATGAAAACGTATTCTAGGCTCAACAGTTTTAGTTATTTATTTACAAATGTTTTATTTATTTACTTTTTTTTTTCTTCACTGGCCCAGTCAGGCCTGTAATTAAAGGGGTCGTTCACCCAAAAATTAAAATTCTGTCATTAGTTACTCACCCTCATGTCGTTCCAAACCCATAAGACCTTCATTCATCTTCAGAACACACATTAATGATGAAATAGTTTTTGATGAAATCCGAAAGCTTTCTGACCCTGCATAGACAGCAATGCAACTACCATGTTCAAGGCCTAGAAAGGTAGTAAAGACATCGTTAAAATAGTCCATGTGACATCTTTTGGGTGAACTATCCCTTTAAGATTTCTACTAACCTGCCCAAAATTTTCACTGGTCCTAACACAAAAAATTATAAATTGAATTGAATTTGAAATTATTTATTTTATATTTACAGTACATATAATTGTAAATGTATATTTGCATTTTTAATAAATATTTAATTTAAAATAATGTATAATATTTTGATTTATATTATTTGTTAATCAATTGTTAATTTTTCTTTGCAAAGACAATTTGCAATTATAGCTGCAAATTATGGAATTTATGGGGTTTCTTGTATAATTATAATAACTATATATTTA